GGCGCGCGGGAAAGTTTGTTTTTAATTAAAAGGAAACTCCCTCCCTCCCCCTCCCCCGGCGAGAACGAGATGTTTCAGAGCACGGATTTGTTTACCACACTGGAATCTGGAAAAAATAAATGCGGGGAGAGCGCATTTTCTTTTGATTTTTACAATAGGAAACGGTTCTGCAGTTGAAATTGAAACCCTTTCTAGTCTAAAAAAAGTTGAATTGCAGGGGAAGGGTCCGCTGCTGTTCTGCCTCCCTGACCGGGAACCGCGGGCCCGCCCAGTGCCTGCAGGTGGTGGTGGCGGGGTGCAGGGTGGGCTGCGGGAGACTGCTCTCAGATTGGAGGCCTAGACCCGTCCATGGAGTCCAGAAGGGAAACGCTTCCTGCTGGGAGCGAGGGGCAGAAAACGGCGGTTCGCGGCCCTTGCTCGGAGGTGCAAGCTTCCCAGGCTCCAATCTCCCTTTTCCTAGATGGGGGGTGGCACGGGGGGGCGGGTGTCGAATGGGAGGCTGAGAGGTGGTAGAAGAAGGTGGAGGCCCCAGGAACCAGGAGGAGACAGAAGTTGGCTGTGCCGGGCAGCGGATCCAGGGCGCGGACTGGGGGTGGGGGCTCCGTGCCGCCCAGCCCAGCACCAACTCAGTGGTCTGCGCCCCCCTCCCCCCGCCCCCAGTGAGTTCCATCAGCCGCATCTTGAGGAGTAAATTCGGAAAAGGGGAGGAGGAGGAGGTCGACCTGGAGCGGAAAGAGGCAGAGGAGAGCGAGAAGAAGGCGAAACACAGCATCGACGGCATCCTGAGCGAGCGAGGTAAGCGGCGCGCCGAGGGCCTGCGCCGGGCGGACAGTCGCGCTCTGGCGCCGGGGGCCGGAGGGCGGCCCAGCTCCCGCGGGTGTCCAGGTCTTCTGGCTCCTGCCCACGCTACCCGGGTAAGAGCCTTCGAGTGAGGGACGCACTTGCAATCAAAACGAACATTTTCTCTTTTGCTTTCTCTATTTTACAAATCTTTCTTCCGCCTCCCCTCCAGTTTATGACTATGAATTGCGTTTTAGGTGCGGGGCCACCCTCTTGCCTTTGGGCGCGGGACTGGGTGCCTGGGAGTGGTTGGGGACGGAGACAGTCTGTGATCCTCCGAGGTGGAAGGAACTTTTGCGCCCTCAGGAAAGGCCCTGCTGTCCAGAGTTTGTAACATCAGAGGAGAGAGGGAAGGAGGGAGGGAGGGAGGGAGGGAGGGAGAGAGAGAGAGAGAGAGAGAGAGAAAGAGAGAGAGAGAGAGAGAGAGAGAGAGAGAGACTCAATACTTTGATAAGCAGTGAGCCCTGAAAGTTGCCCCTCGTCGGTTACCCTATAAATGTATATGTGTAAGCTGTCTGCTTTTTCTTGGTTTTACATTGGTTTTCAAATGCGATGGGGTTTGATTTGTGTGTGTGTGTTTGGGAAGTAAAACCGAGGGGGTCTGGGCTTTGGACCCTAGTGCTGGCGCCACCTGTTCCTCGTTGGCTGCGAACTGGCAGCATCTAGAGAAAACCTCTCCCTCAGAAGCATGAGTGCAGCCTGCTCCCTTTCACATGCTGCGGGTCCTCTTCACACTTGAAAGGTACCCACCTGCCCGCTCCCAAAGGCAAGTCTACCCCTTGGAGCCGAACCAGGAAGGGGTGACTGCACAGAGAGGTCTCAGCAGATTTGCACCTCAGTAGTTTTGGCCTTGGGGATGGTCGTACCTCTTCAAATTCGAAAGGATCTGAGTCCCCGCCCCCTCCCCTGGCGTTCTCTTATCTGGGGCCTGGATTTCGTAAGGCAGAGTTTTGAGTTGCCCTAGAGGTCAGGCAACTCTTCAGGTGGGCTTGGAGCCATCGCACAGGACTGTCTGGGTCCATGGCCCTCAGCCCGGTAGGAGTGTGGACGGTCCTTTCTTTGACCTTTCTGGCTCACCCCTTGGGCAGACCGGTGGGCTTTATAAATCAATGCAAAATCTGTACTCAACCTCAAAAGGACACTTAGATTTAGATGCTCCAAGTCCAAATGGCTGCTTTCAGATGCTCTGGCACAAACAGGCGATCGAGAAAAACCACCGGAAGCCGTGGCAGGTTGCTTCCCTCCTTTTGAAGCAGGGCTCTCACACAGGCTCGGACTCGGTCTGAGCTTCTCTTTTGAGAGGGGTGCTTCCTTTTCAGTCTCTGAGAAGACATCTCAGCTTTTATTCCAGCCCAAATACAGCGCGGAGGTGCTGGGGAGGGAAGACAGTGAGAAACCAGACACCCCCAAACCCAACGGGCCGCTTCGGGCAGGGCAGTGGGGCCAGGAGCCCAGAGCAGCCCAGGGGCTCCAGAAGGATTGGGGGGAGGCACAGCTTTGCTACTTGTTGCCGAAGGCGCGGAGCGCGGCAGATCCGAGGCTCCCTCACAGCACAGGCAACCGAGGCCCAGGAGACAAAACGCCCCAAATGAGCTGGTCAAACATTTGTACAACTTTTCCAGCTTTTACAAAGAAGGCCTTCTCTACACAAGCTACACTTGGAGATGAACTTGGGAGACAAAGCCTGGAGAGTCCATTGAAACTCACACTTTAGCTCGGCCCAGACAAAGCTCCAGCTCGCAGCAGCTTGATGTGAACAAAGGAAGGCAACCTTTTTATAATTCAAGGAGAAAAGAAGAGAAAACAGCCCCACAAAGGGCGGCGAATAGACATTATGGGCTGGCAATGAGGGATGAATTATTCAATGAGCCCCAATAGCTGCTGCGCCAGGAAGTTTTATGGACTCTCCAGCGTGGAAAAAGTGGCCATTTCACCTACAAAATGTTTCCAGTCTTTTGGGCCGTCTAGCTGGATCGGGCTGCCATTCAAGGGCAATTGCTACCATTTTAAAAATCAGAGAATTGTCCCCAGCGGGGGTCGCACCGTTGAAAACACACACACACACACACACACACACACCTCGGAGGCTGAAGCCTAATTTAATTTGGGGTTGTCAAGGATGAAGCTGCGTCAGTCTCGCCAGCGCCTCTAGCTCCTTTTCCAGATGAACCCCGGAGGGCAAGAGGGGCCCAGAGAAAGGAGAGTGAAGTGTAGTTTGAAGAAAAGTTTAGAAACCTCAAAAAATTCTCTCTGTTGTTTGGGTATCAAACGTCACAGGTCGCCCCGCTTGTGAAATAGAAGGCATGTTGCTGAAGAGCTCTAAGTGCCCTGGCCAACAAGGGGCCTTTGGGTGTCCTGACCAGGGCGCTGTGCTCGCTGGAGGTTCCAGCTTCCTTGTGGGCCTGGAGGGTGCTGGTGCGACTGGCTTTCCAGGGGACATCTTTCCGCTTGTCCGACACTAGGACACAGGGGAGAGGCACCTCGAAAGAGGTCAGAACCACCCTCGTTCCTCTTTCCAGGGTCTTGCTCTTTCTCTTGCTCCTTTCACCTCCCCAACTTTCCCTTGCCCCCACCCCCCAATCCAGGGACAGCGCAGCGTGCGGACCCGGTGCGCTCCCGCCCTGGTGCCCTTGCTGGGTCCATCCTTCCAACATCTTTGCGGGTGGAAGGGGAGGATTGGGCGATCAGGGCACACCCAACCCCACCGCCCAGCCCCTGGCTGGCACAGAGATCCGAGCTGGTGCAGCCCGAGGAGCCAAGCCCTGGTCGCAGCATCAGGGGCTGTGGGTACGG